TCGGTTCCGCCTTACTCGAAACCGTCCTGGATTGCAATCTTTTTTTAACATGTCATGACGCCAAATCGTATTTTCCCAGATCAGACACCGCGCATCCTAGACCTTGTGCTTGTATCAGCGCAATCAGAAATTACAAATTTAGCTGTTGTCGTGCCCATTGCCAGAAGTAAGCACTGTGCTGTTTCTTTTCAGTAGACTCGTCGCTTCGCTGTCCACAGCCAATGTGCCGACGGTCGGAATTTCTGGCGTGTAGAGGCACTTCGTTTGAAAACGGCTGCAAGCTTTGTGCATTGAAGTATCCATGGGCATCGCAGTGTTGATGATGCGTGGAATCTTTTGTACTCTATGCTGACGTCTATCATCGACCAGATCGTCCCTGTCTCCAAGAGAAGACCGTTCTCTAAAGGTCCACCTTGGATAGATCACCAATTAAGGCCCCATTATAAACAAAAGGCGTAAACTGTGGAACCGTTTTAAACTAACACGATCAGACCTCGATTATTCTCGCTACAAAACAATCAGGCATGTTTGTACTTCTCAGAAACGGGAGAAACGTCAACTATACGAACTGTCTTTGGCTGCGCTTTCCAGGCCCACATCCAAAGCGCTTTTCTCGTACATCAAGTGAAGTACCAGAGCCGGCAGTGTCATCCCTGCCTTGTGTTCCCGTCAGCATGCTGCTTTAGTTGACGAAGACACACAAAAAGCCGACCTTTTAGTTGAGCAATATCCCTGTGTATTCAACAGAAACGTCTCCCCCGGACCGTTTCTTGTTAACGCTGATTTTTACTGAAGCTGTTTCTTAATTTAAATCCGTATTCTTCACCTGGCCTTGATGGCCTACATCAATTGTTCCTTAAAACTGTAACCGAGCACCTCACCGCAGCTATCTGTCAGAGATTCCGTCTGTCTTTTGGTACTGGCCGTCTTCCGGCTGTTTGGAAATCGGGCATCATCAAGCCTATTTATAAAGGAAGAAACCGACAAGATCCAGCGAATTATCGTCCTATTTGTTTGACATCGGTAGTTTGCAAAAGTATGGAACGGACACTAAAACGCGCGCTCTGCCTCCATCTCAAAAAGTTAGATTTTATCGCTTCTGCGCAGCATGGATTTCGAAGCGCTCGCTCATGCGCCCCAAACTTGCTTGTGGCAAGGGAGAAATGGTTGAGATCACTAAATGTTGGCAAACGATTGGATGTTGTATTTGTTGATTTTAGCAACGCCTATTGCAAGGTTCCGCATGAGCGGCTTCGTTTCAAACTCCGCGGAGTTGGCTTTGCTGGAAATTTTCTCTCCTGGATCTCCGATTTCCTGGACAGTCGCTCTGCGCAGGTTAGGGTGAATGATACGCTTTCTGATCCTTTCCCTATGAGCAGTGGTGTCCCACAGGGTTCTGTCCTTGGCCCTGTACTCTTCAATATCTTCATTAACGACCTCCCACTCGAGTTACAGACGGGATGTTTGATTTATGCAGATGACGAAAGTTTGGATTGAGGTATCCAGTCTTGAGGATGCAGACAGGCTCCAAGAAACATTCAACAGGCTCCAACACTGGTCGGTAAAATGGCAGTTACTTATCAACCGGGATAAATGTTCCATACTACCGATTGGTACTCGTGAATCATTTGGGGTGTACCAAATTGGAGGTTTCTTGCTTAGAAATGTCGCTCAGGAAAGGGACCTCGGAGTAATTGTGTCTACTTACCTCAAAACAGCTGAGGACACCAGGAAAAGCGTCACCGCTGCTTACAGGATGTTTCATGCCTCAAGAAGAGCATTCTCCCGTCTTACTCCAGAACTTTTCAGACTCCTGTTTTCCTCACATTGCGCCCGATTCTTGAGTACGGCTTCTTAGCTGCCCAGACTCTCACGAAGAACGAATGCGATATGATTGCGAAGGTCCAACGCCGTGGATCAAAATATGTGCCAGAGCTGTGGTACCTAGCTTATCCTCCGTCTCCAGCGATAAGCCTTTTCTCTTTAGCTTACCGTCGTAGCGGCGATTTGACTTACATACGACGTATCCTAAGAGGAGCGCTAGGAGGCGAGTTACGGCGGTTCTTTCATCTGAACATTGAAATTTCGACACGTGGTCACAGATGGAAACTGTTCAAATCGAGGAGACTCCATGTGCGGTCAGATCTAGCTCTATCCACGCGCGTGGTTAATGACTGGAATCGCCTTCCGGAGCTCGTCGTTGATGCGCAGTCCGAGGAAAGTTTCAAGAAACTGTTGGATTCCCACCTGCTAACTGTACCTGGATATTGCTTCACAACATAGCTTTAAGGTTCCTTGTGGAACTCTATTTTCGCAATGATCCCAGCAATGTCCACAATGACTGGAAAGCGACGGAGCTGATAAAGGACTCTCCTTCTGCTCTCTGCCACAATGATACCACGACGCGCAGCCATCCCACATTGAATAGGAATCGACGGAGCTGACAAAGATTCTCATCTCTGCTCTTTCCAGCCCACTGAATCAATGGAACTTGTACACGTACCTTAAACTAATTTAATTGACTTTTTTGTCAAATTCTTTTCATGGCGCGCTTGTCGTGTTTCACCTTTCGAGCATTTCTTTACTAAAGTCCTTTTTTGGGCACAATAGTTGACTAACGCCGCACAGAAAATTTGCTTGTCAGTTTTCTTGTGATCCGAATCTCTTGTCTTTTGTGTGTTTTATCCTTTGTCACAGCGTGGTTGTCGTGTTTCACCGTTTGAGCTTTCTTTCTCGGAAGCTTTTTATGGAAACAATGTTGAATAACTCTGAACAGAAAGTTTGACTTTTTTAGTCTCTTGTGATTCAAACGGGCTTAGAGGTGTCCAATATACCAGTCTTTGAACATCTTGAATTTTTGCCTAATGTTCGTTATTTTTCCATCAAAATATTGCTTGGCATCTGTTTGAAAACCACCGCAAGCGATTCCGGATTTTGTCGATATCTCATCGATCGAGTACAAATCGGGTTGATATTCGACCGCGTGAATCTGATCAATTCCTCATTCCTGAAAGTCTCGCACAGCTCCAACATAGAACAGCTTTAAGGGGTTATTCCACAGAGAACCCTGATTCTCACTTAGCGTATTTTGACGGATAAGATCGGCTCGGGCTTGCCAGGGCTATTTAGTCCCGCTACGTTACCTAATCTCCGCGGTCACCTATCATCATCATCATCACTACACGTTAGCTGGAGGTGGAAAATACCTCAGCTATTGTGCCGCAATACAAAAGACAAGAAAAGCAAAACGAACAGTGGCAAGCCCGCTGAGTCCCCAGTAACGAATGGACATCGTTCCGGAGAGCTAACAGCTGGCTGCCGTATTATTATATCATATATCATATCATCATATCATATCATCATATCATATTATGCCTAACAAGTGAGATCGTGATTGGAGGGGGATGCTAAACAGGAGGGGGATGGACAATGAAACTCACAACACAAACGCCATTGGGGCCGGCTCCTTGCCATATCAGCAAGTGTGTCCAACCAAACGTGTTCACCATCCTTAGGACCCCAGCCAGGCAGTCTGGATGCACCAACCGGCGCCAACTTCGAAGTGAGGGTTTTCATTTCTCTCGACCAAGTCATCACTTGGCCTCCCCTCCTCCTCCTACAACCCACTGGAACTGCATAAACCACGGTCTGGTAAGAGTAGGACGGAAACTCGTCTGTCACGCCGATTTATAGACCGCTGGAATTCGCTTCCAGATCATGTGGTTAGGCAACCTACGGTTAAGGGTTTTGCGCGCCACCTCGATGCTCTTGGGTGGCAACAGCAAACCTTTCCTTTTTCCTAATTGATTCACCTTCACTTTTCAGTTTTTTTAATGACTCAGATATCTTGGTATTCTACTTGCTTAGCTCTTTCCACTTTCTCTTTTGCCCTCTGAGTTTACTTTTTTCTCTTTCGTACTTCACGTAGCCGGCACCGCAGGGACTGCTAGGGCAGGATACGTGGGCATTAATTGGTTGGACATCATCAATAGCAGTACATCAGCTATTTGAACAGATGCTTCGCTGCAATACAACCATGAGGACCTATGAAATAAAGAATAAGAAGAGGGAGAGAAGGGGGACTTACCTGAAAACCTTAATGCCCTAAGCAAACATTCAGGGTCAAGGCGCCTTCACCTTGTGTAGACAACTTACCGTCACAAACAGCTGGCTATCGTGCAAAGATAAGGCGGCATCGGCGAGACAGCTTCCTTGCGGCTTTCACTGCCACGCGTCATAATCAGCCATTACCCCGCAGATAACTCAGCACCAAACACTTTAAACGGGCAATCCGATTAGGAGGCGGCAGCAGACGCGCCACTGGTGTCGGTTGCGAGCCATGTCCTGTAAAGTCTCGAGTCAAGCACAAGGTGAGTCACGTGGTCTCCAACCCGGAAGGCGAGACGGACCACCGGCACCCAGTTTGGTCGTCCGTGACTTCATTTCCCGCTGCCAAGTCAACTTCTGTCCACCTCGAGCCTTGCGCCATCCTACACCCGGTAGACTGAACAAGGCCCTCCTAGGTAAGCGGTGACCAGGCATACGTAGCACGTGCCCGAGCCAACGCAACTTATTCAGTGCTATCTGTTGTTCTAGGGAGCTAGCATGATCATCACCCCCTAGTACTCGCCTACGCACATCATCGTTGCGGACACGCTGGTGCCATCCGACACCGGCTATGCTTCGAAGACAACAATGATCAAAGACTTGAAGGCGCTTCAGATCTTCAGACCGAAGGGGCCAAGTCTCTACCATAGAGCAGAACGACCCTCACTGTGGCTTTGTATACACGGCCTTTCAGACGGAGGGAAACTCCCTTCTGTCGTCAAAGATGCCGCAGGTTCAAGAAGGTAGCTCTGGCCTTTGGAATGCGTGAGCTGACGTCAGTTTCTATGCGCCCATCATTGCTGATGCAGCTGCCAAGATAAGTGAATTGATCAATCACCTCGACAGGGTGTGATGCGGTCTTTGTTTTAGGTCCATCAGTATTTCAAAGTCCGCCAACTCCTGGTTAAACGACCCGCTGAAGAAGGAACACTCACGGGATAATCCTATCTTCCAGTCCCACTCGAACTTGAACTTGCTACTTTTATAGATCTGGTGAGTCATATATGTATAAACGAATCACTCCGGGTTTTATCTGACTGCTGCTCACATTGACTGCATTGTAGCCTATTGTACCCCGGTTCAGGCTCCTATTGTCTGCTAAAACTTTTCTTTTTTCATGATGGTAAAGATATCCGGTTCCAAGTCGGCCTCGGACCTATTAACGGACTCGTCAGTTGTTTGTGATAAAGCGAGTTGCTCAGAACCGGTTACTGGTTCTTCGGGTGGCATGTACCGTGACCTCTGTCGTCGTTGGTTCCATGAGGCTTGCACTGGGTTGGATAGACAACAGTATATCCTCCTAGAAAACAGCGGTGATTCACCTTATAATTGCCTTATTTGTCTTATTTGCACAAAGCATATCGTTTAGTCCCAAACGACGAATTTGAAACATTGGTATCTAGAGTGGGTACTCTTCTATTTTCGTTTAATTCTTTAGAGGGGAATACATTGGAATATTGAGAGTAGGAGGGAGATCCCTTCTCAGCTCCATCGGTTCCGAATCATCATAAGGTGGATGCTTGCTGTCGGGAAGCGTTACTCCTTCGGAGATCATCACGTTTGTGGTAAGAAGTAATAGCAGCAGGATCCTACCATGTGCGTTAGATGGGTGTCTAACAATAGCTTGAAACTTTCCTCTGTCTTCAACTCAGTGTTGTATTTCGGCAGACTGTTCCAATCATTTACCGCTCCGGAAGATAGGGCAGCTTGCGGACGGGCGCGAAGTGTCCTCGGCTTAAATACTTTCCATTTGTGGCCCCGTGTCGAGCTGCCCACACTTAGATGGAAGAACTGCTGCAGCTCACTTCCAAACTCTCCCTTTAGGATGCGTCTGGTGTAGAGATCTCGACGGCGACGATATTTCATGGAGAACAGGTTCAACGTCTTAAGTCGAAGAGTGTAGGGAACATCCGGATGCTCCGATGTAGATTTTGGACCGCGCGTCTGCACCTTCTCTATCAGAGCAGGTTAAGATTTCGTTAAGGCGTAAGCAGGCGGCAGACCATATTCTAGGATCTGACAGACATACGAAGCGAACAGCATTCTAAATATCTCCAACGTAATTTTACAGAATGATCTTTGCAAATCCCAGAGCATTCGGTTGGCTGCCGCGACCTGCGTGTCAAGAGATGAAGGGGAAGGTTGCTCAAATCGTCGTAAGCCTTGAACGTGCAGGAGTTCTCGGAATAGGCGTGTGTTCAGACGACTGCATAAATAGTACGGCTCCGAAGAATCCACCCTCTTGAAGCGGCGCCTGAAGATGGTAAACATCCTGACGTTATGTTGAACTCAGCTGTGGGTGGAGAAGTTTTACGGGCTAGTGTATCTGTGAAGGTAAAGCGGCATAAGATAAAGAAATCGATCCGTACGACCAAACCCAAGCTAAAAGATGTAGCGGTGGGTTCTGTCGATACTCCGTCCCCGGTAACGAAGGCAGAAAGCTTCCACCTCATTGATGGAATCCTTATCATGTGCACCTGCTGTTTCTGCTAAGGAGGATATGAACTCGGGTGCTGCGCCGGCCACTGCTACAGTGTCGCGTGCCGTAAACACCCCTCGTCGTAGTGATGCATTTACGGACAGCAACATAGATAGACAATCTTCTAACTGGTATTCCGCAGTCCCTGAGATCTGGAGGAATGAGGTAGGCCTGCATTTGCGGTTGGTCAGACGTGTGCCGTGGCTTTCACACTGCACACCCAAACCCGAATCAGCAATGGCTGCTAGGCGGTTGGACAATTTTGTGCGATTGCTATTACGACTACCATGGGGGGTCAATGTTCCCGTTGAAGTTGGTAGACAAATCTGAAGCTCAACAAGAAAAGTTCTATGTTTGCTTAATTCTATCACAGATGATGACTAAACACAAACTAAGAGAATACCCAGTGTGGCGATAACACGTTAGTGAGTGTTCGTTTATCTCCACACCCATGGGCGACTTTGTTAATCAGTTATCGCTTCAGTGTTTCCATGTATGGGGTTATTTAAAGGTCATAGGAACCTATGTATTCATAGGATAATTAGGCTTTACTTCCATATGGTCGCCCATACGTGTTGAGACGTTTTGACAAGTGGTTCTCCGAATGGCACCATTAGAAGCACAGTCAATGCAGATGGAACCTCCTTATAACGTCCATGGACTGGGATGCTATCCTCATGAAATTGTAATTACTCAACAAAGAAACACCTAAAGGGGCTACAATGACTACCGTATTTATACATGTCACATCGTCCTTCTGGAAAAAACGCAACGCTGATAATTAGTGGCGACGCACGCATTTTACTCTGGTAATTCATGTGAGTACTTGGAACAGACAAACACTGTTGTCTCACCTACGGGCGTTCCTACAATGTGTTTGCAATCATTTACAAAGGCAACCGCGCCCACTAATCCTGCTATGGACCACGGTTTCAGCTAGTTTTAGAAGCAGTCATGTGTGCACGCCGTGACACACGTTGTTATCGACTTGGCAACTACTTAGAAACGTTTTGTCATTGTAAAGTAGGTAATTCCGGAGGCATTGTTGAAGGAGGAAAATTGCTCCAAGCTCTATGCTTACAATGCGTATGCAGTGCTTTTTGGCAGATCATATCAGCGCCGTAGGGTCACTTGGTATTTCAAGCTCATCAATCACATGGAAGTGAGGCGTAAATATCATGTTGAAACACAGGATTGACATGCATCTACGACCTTAACATAACGGCAGGTCGATGGGTCCTGAAGCGGTAACTGATTACCGAAGTGGTCCACAGGTGTGGAGACGGACGAACACTAACTAATGTCGTGTCACCGCCACACTAGGAACCCTCCTCATTGGAACAATGGCTACAGATCCAATGATGCTCTTACCTACTCAGCGAACTTGTCCTTAGTGTACAATTCGCCGACTACATCAGCATTACGTAACTACACTATTCACATGAGTGTACGGCCAACTGAAACAACACAGCACGAGAACTTTGTAGCTGTAAAGGTTCTACAATTTATATTTGCGAACAAGTTCTAGATTTACCTCCTTCATACGAACTACTGTATTGTTTCTGATTACCTCACACTGCCTTAACAATCACATGCATTTCTTAAACGAAATGGCATACATATGGTTTCTCCAGATTGCTTGCAGTGACACGATTACACTATGCATACCATATCACGTGGGACCACATAGGCTCGCTCCACCTCAATGACCCGTTGCGGTCATCAAACCTCGTGATCTTCCCGGAGAAGTTATTTGAGCTCAATGTTGGTAGTGCTGCGCAGTGAATGGTATTCAACGCCAGCAGGAATTGCTCGACGGGCTTCGAGAAGTTGGAGAGGTCACGCAAAGAACCAGTGGTTGACCGAAATACTGGTGAAGCAACAGACCAGTATTGCGGAAAATGTTCGGAGTAGAAGCTTAGCTGCGTCAAACCGTTTCCGGCTACGCTGTTGGGAGCCACCAAAAAGTAACACGACCTTGGCACACACCAGCGCATGATCCGAAATGTGTTAGTTACTTCAGATTACTTTGCGATCTTGTATGCAGCCGCGCCAGCGATAACCGATAGCGATGTGGCCAATTTGTGTCCACGGCTGGCCAGCTGATGGGGGTCTCCAGTTGGCGGGATGGCACCAGCATCCTCGAAAGTTAGTGCTCGATAGAAAGAGGCAGTGATTGGCGTATTTCTGAATTAAACAATCACCGTTGTCTATTCTGCGAATACCATAGCCGTGTTGACCACTGAGTTCACGTCCATCAACTTCAAGTCTACATACCTGCGCGTTCAAGTCCCGACAAGCACCACGATGTCGGTGCTGCGCTTTTTACAGTCGGTCAGCTGACCATAGCACTCATCCTTAGCTGACTCCGGACTACAGTTTGGGAGTATACGCCGCGACAGTGAACGGACATCGTCTGCTGGCTCCGCACCTGGCCAGTCACTCTGAGGTTTAAAGTCGGATCGCGCAGAGTCGGATGTTGACAGGGATCTAGTCTAGTAGCGCGGCTTCAGCACGTGTGCTCAACGCAATCCCCGCACCAGCATGACCAGCGGCTTCTGCGGTTGAGTCTCCATATAGATGCAGTGTGGAAGAGCCAGTGGAACTCGAAGACGATGAAACAAATCGTTGCGTCGTGCTAGGGCGGTGGACATCAACGACCGTAATTTCAAGCGTGCGAGCAAAATCTGCGATCCGATCTGCATCAGCGTCCGATCGCTAAAGGTTGCCAATTTGAATTGGGAATGGGGGTAGAAATGACTTGCCAACACGACTTGGCGCACCTTCGGATCTAAGCCCCTGATCCGTATGGCGAGAACGCTGTCCCAAGGTGGCACAGTGTTGTGGACTCGGAAACGGAGGGCGAAAATCAGGAATGGCTTAGCTAAACAAATGTGGAATGCAGTAATCAAACGGTGGTGCGGTAGAACGCGGTTTGATAGGTTCGGTCAGTAACCCTATAGCCGGTCACATTGGTTTTGGCACGGCGTCTTACGAGCTCTTGTGGTATTTAATGAGGAGCTAGTTGACCAGCTCAGAATCCCCCACGCTCTAGGACACTGCCGCTGAATGTCCGCGACTGCTTCTTCATCTCGCTTCCGAACTGCAGAGACTTATGCACCTTCGCAGGGAAAGCATTTCCTGATCCGCAACCTGGGGGCGCGCCCGGTGGTGTAGAACTCCGCCGAACTAACCCGTGGTCGGTTCACTTCCGGCTAACTTAGTGCAGAGCAGCGTAGCATGGGAAAACCGGGGTAACCTAGCCTGGACATGATTAACATGGGTTTCTTACGACCAATTGTTAATTTTATGTGTTAGGAAACAAAGGCATTTGATTATCGCCAGTGGCGAGAGCATATCAAAATGGCTGTTGCCCATGTGCAGGAGGAAACACTGTTGCATACGAAATGGAACGCCGTGTACAAAAGCAACAGGCACCGACGGAGAATAGCGCATCGACCTCGAGTGCATGGTGCTGTAGCACTTGAGGTCGCGAGTCAGCTAAGCTGGCTTGGGAAGTCACTAGCGCGTTCACGCAAAGCCAACAACTAAGATAAGCCGAGTAAGCTAAATATGTAATCATCATCAGCGCAGCGCTTGGTAAATACGCTGTTTCAGATTACATTTACTAACCCATGCCATTGATGCAGTTGATGCAGTACGTGTGCTAGATCGCTGCAGTTGATCTGTATGTGTGCAGGCGTGTCGAGTTCTTACATTTTAGGTATTAGCTGTTGATTGATATCCCCGGTGAGTGCGCTTGATATGAATGTTAACAAGATGCCTACCTGTCTAACACCCTTCGCCTTGATTTTCAGCTCCAGGAAACGGCCAATCATTGATAGGGCTGAACAGAGTGCACGGACTTCGTGACGTTGCTAGGCTCAAAGATGGGTTCCATCATGTGTGCAGCGGATTACGGCTCAGCCACCGCCTTGTGTACGTCTGGCACGCGTGATTCCCCACATAGATGAGCAGGAATGCTGCTCCGTTGACGGAACTTGACTTTCATCCAAGTGCCCCTAGATTTACGTCGGATAGGACTGTGGGTGGTGCGGCGCAAGTCACCCATGGTCCCACTTTAGCTGCAGGTACCTTGTGGCTATGGAGGCCACAGGGACAGGCAAATCCGGAACGGAATAGCTCTAACCGTATTTTACGTACCAGCAACTGCGGTCAACCACAGGGGGAAGTTAGTGGGTTTGCACCCATTTGACCAGGGGTGGCGTAGCTCCTGTCAGGTGCCCGCAAACCATTAAGCTGTGGATAGTACCATTCCATCGTCAGAGACGATGTTCCAAGCCAAACGAGCTGTGAACTTACAACCTGTAAACCTGTTGTCTCACATTGCTAGCTTTTAAGAATGGATTGTGCTATTGAGTCACTCTTGTGTGAGTTGCTCTGAAGACATTTTGAAAGTGCCCTCACCCCCAGCGTTGCTCACTGAGCCACAAAGCACACGAACCATCGTAACACGTTAGAGTCCAACCTCGTCGCGCTCCTTTAATTTGTTTGTATGTTATACTTGTCTGCATCTCGTCTCTTTCAACTTAGAGCGCAGTTTAGAACCCATATTCTGACTCAGAACAACAGCTTCTAACTAAAGAATATTTGAGTAGCGTACGTAATTCCAAATGTCTCATACAATATGTTATTATGGACCTGGTCGGTCAGTTTAGAACTTGACTTACTGTCCTCTTGCATCGCTTGCCCATGTCGCAGAAATTTGTCAACAAGGCGTCAACGTTTTAGCCAGTGCACAACTATGGCTATCCAGGACGAAGAGTAGTATCAGCTCTACTGATGGTTGCCGTACTACTGCGGTAATATCGGGTTCTTTGTTTTGTTCCCCCTTGTCACTAGAAAGTAGAAATCTCTACAGCAAATATGTTTTTGAATCTGCCAAAGAAGCTTAGCGTTACGGCATCATCAGTGTATCATGTTAGCTGATCGAAACTTCCATATCACCGCATCACGCTCACTCACATTCTTCGTTCACGATGCAACAATATTTGTTACCTATTTTTCTGTAAGTACATCAAGTAACGAAATTTCTCAGATTTTTAGTCTTCTAGTAGCAGCGGGAGTTTGTAGGTTTTTTTCAACGCAACAGACGAGAGGAATACTGGAGCGTGCATATTTTGCGCACTGAATGGTAGAATGTTACCGAAAATGATATCATCTGTTCTACTACATTTATTAGGAGCAAACTTCACTCTAGTTGCGGTGCCCTCGACTGTATTTTGTGACATTTCATTCAGATCAATCATTTAAAATTTCATCGTTTTTATCCGAACCTACTTTTACTTCTTTGTCTCTCAAATTACCCTTTTGGTTTCAGGTTTTCAGTGCAATATTTATAACAATATACTATTGAAGATTGAAACCATAAATCTCCAATGCTTTCCCGCAACGAGCGGTGCAAACTATCCTCTGATTTGGCGCGATATTTTGAGCGCCTCACGAAGTCGCTTCCAGAGGAAATGACATCTCTTCACTCAAGCAGGTAGCACATTTACTAATGAATTACCTGTAGATTGGTCGTACTTTTCCTCGGCACAGTAGGAGCCGACATCCTTTCTGAGTGCAACACATTGCCTGCATCAGACCTAACTGCATGGGTTTACTCGCATCAAATCACTGTGAATTCTGGTATTATGCTCAATGTGTGTAGTTTATCGCTTCATATAGATGCCAAAGATAAGACGTTCGGAGGATTCAGGAGTTTATTATACACGAAAAATGCAACATGCTGTGATTCGGTCAGTTCTTGGCATACTTCTGATTTCCCATAAGTGCATGGTCTAAACTAATGAAATGTAAATAAATATTGGGTGCAGCGGTGCTTGTCTGAATTAAACGAAACTTTTACATATGTGGTGACAGGGTTTGCTTTTTGTTGTTCGTGCTAAGGGCATGGTGGCTGTTTTTCACGAATTTATTGTCCACTTATGCAATCTCACGCATGTATCATCATACTCATCAGCACCTGCATTACGTCAGTACTTTGAATTGATAGAATTTTCGTTGCCATGTAATCGTATAACTAGTCATAATAATAGTGCTAATGATTTTAATAAACGATATATTTCCCGACTTGCGTGGCACAGTTTAACTCAATGGTCTGATCAAATTGGTACAGCGTGATCGCATAAAACAGATGACTGAAAGTTTGTAGGCACGATTTACAAACGAATTTAGAGTACAATGAAGTTGCATATATCAGCAGGATTGATACATTGAGAACACTCGCAGATGGAAGCATGGCCAAATGTTCAAGTAAGGAAAGACGGCCATCCGTTAAATTTTCTCCTGCGGTCCTGCTTCCATGCATAGTGCTCCATCGAAACCGTTCGTTCGTACTTCCATGCCTAATGGCGTAATAGCATGTATGCTAGCACTTCTTCTACAACTCTTAAGTGATTTTTATATGCGTAGGTTATGGGCTACCAAGCCTTTTAGCCCCCTTTATTAGTCGGCTCACTTCGTGCACGACAATTTTCTTTTTTTGAGGCCAAAAGCGAGTGGCTTTATACATTGCATAAGTATACTTACACTGTTCTACATCATTTTTCTAACAGAAATGAGGTAGTGTTGCTAGTACTACCAAGTAAAGTGATTTCAAAGATGCAAAACGAGATGTTTCTATCACGTCGGGCTTTTGTTTAATTTCAGTTTTTCATTTTAGCTAAGCAGTGTTTCCATGCATCCAATATTCGCCTGTGATTGGTCCATTGGCTCCCTGTAACCAGATAACCGAACTGATCTTGGCCATGGTATCCACCTGATACTGAAAGCCGGCTTAGAACTGTGTTTCTTTAGTTGATATTATGAATATGGCTGAAAGACGCTGCTGTGTCAATGATCGATATCATTTTTGTTACAACTGTGGATAGTTTACTACAAAATCGCAGTTCAGACCAATTTTTCACTACTGTGGTCTGCTTACCACGCATATTTCGGGCTGAAACTTGGAAATCCGGATAAGAAGCCCGCCACATATTGTTTGTGTGTCGTGCAATCTTCATCTGACTCCGTCGCTCAAGGGTAAAGGCAAAATGCCTTTTGCAATTCCCATGGTATGGTGTGAGCCGAAGGATCACACGACAGACTGCCACTACTGCCTGACTAGTGTCAGGCTGCAATTGACAACGGAAACAGTGTCGTAATCCTGTTCCTGGATATGCAAAAAGCCTTTGATAGAGTGCCTCACAGAAGGTTGCTAAATAAACTAAAGGCTATAGGCATTGGAGAACCGATGTTCTCTTGGCTGTCTTCATACCTCATTGGTAGACAGCAGGTTGTGTGCATAGGCGACCATTTCTCCAAACCGAAAGCAATCACTAGTGGAGTGATTCAAAGGAGTGTTCTTGGTCCACTTCTTTTTATAATTTATATTAACGATATATTCCAGAGAATAAGAAATGGTGCTGCATTTATCTTTGCTGATGACATTAAAGTTGTCTACTCACAACCACGTGCAAATACTCAGGAAGCCGTACGTCTCATTCAGGATGACCTATCCGCCCTTGACTCCTGGTGCCAACTGTGGCAGATGTCATTTGCCGTGGACAAGTGTAATATTTTGTCGTACAAATGCCAAGTACCGCCAGACAGTTTATTACTACAAGGTGCCTATATCTCGCAATGTAGGGCAATTCGCGACTTGGGCGTGCGATATTCAGTTACGTTTAACTTTTCTGAACACTGTGACTTCCAAGTTTCGAAAGCCATGAAGACCATTGGTTATATCTGCCATCATTTTTACCTCACGGAATCTCGCATATCCCTTTACAAAACATGTGTATTGCCGTGTATGGAATACTGTTCAATGGTACAGTCTAATCTACGGAAATCTGACCAGCACGCTCTTGAGAGGGTCCAGAGACGCTTCACGAGAAAGCTATGTGGATATTCCTCAAAGCTGACATACAAGGAGCGATGCGATAAACTTGGATTTGACCCAGTTTGGCTTCGGATAATGAAGCTGAACCTAAGTTTTCTTTACAGAATCATAAATTGTCGAATTCGCAGTCCTGAAAGCGGTGTTCACATATCTGTAAACAGCAGATACCCAATACGTAACAAAGAAGTAAAGGTCATGATTCCAAAATTTACTACGAGAATCAGAGAACGTTTCTTTCTAACCCAATACTCAAAGATTTGGAACAAACTTCCAAGTGATATCAGAACATGCTACACTCTTTGCAATTTTAAGCTTGTTATTAGTAAGCATTTAACCGTCCAAAACGTGATTAAGATGTTCGGGACATCACAGTCCCTAGATAACGCATTCGAAAACGGTATCCATGGTGTCTGAATAAATTTCTGAAACACATACACATAACATTTCGGACAACAGCCCCTTTCATTACATTTTTTTCTCTCGGCCCAAATATCTGTCATGTGATTGTGAAGAATCCTGATTCAATGGCAGGTAAAAATAGCAGAACGATTCTGATTACTCTGTGTAACATAATTTGCAATTGCGTCCATGTTTATCTCTGAAAATGTATTGATGAAATGTCATGGAAAAGTTGTACCATTAATTGATCTGTTCCTTATAGAGAACAGCTTCTCGCATCGTCGAGGAATGTACAATTTATTTATTTATTTATTTATTTATTGGATTCTCCAACCGAAAGAAGGGCAAAATTCATTGTCCCCATCCTCCATCAGCTATTCCACCAGTTCTTCATGATTGCACCTGACCCATCTCAGTGCCCCCAGTGAACATGTTATTGATGATGAGTAGTGCTTATGCATTTTGGTTCGTCACAATCAGCCGACAATTCAGATATGTCGACCAGCTATCCGGAAAAGCACCAGACGGCCGTTTCGCCCTGTTGGGGCTCATCAGTCGTGCGCATCCTTCGGTCCTCTGCGGAGGATCTTACCCATGACTGCTAGTGGCTCTTGCCAACTAGCCCGCAGCTTATGCAACTGCGCCATGGAGGACGGTATCCGACCATCACGAATTGTTAGCTAAATGCGATATAGCCCGACCTATCGTCCACTGCCATGCAGGCACCTGCCATGCAGATGACAGCGGTTGGCCTTCCGGCGTCGTTAACTTCACCTAATTCTGATATCTGTGAAAACCTTGAGGTTGCTGATGTTAACCCACATTGAACAATCAGATCTGAATGACTTGGTACGTGATCTTGGTTTACCTAAAGACAAGGCCGCGTTGTTGGCATTTCGGCTGCAGCAGTGGCACTTATTTGCTACAAACACTAGGGTTACTGTGTACAACAAGCGGTGTTAAATTTTCCGGTTTCTATGACACGAGAGAAACCTTTTGTTGCTGTTCCGAACTGGAAGTACTGTTGAAAGAGTTTGGAATGAGACATATCAGTGATGGATGGCGTTTGTTCATTGACTCCTCCAAGTCTTAAGACCATACTACTCCACAATGGAAATGTGTGCCCACCTGTGCCTCTGCTGCATGCCGCCACCATCCTGGATTGCCGCTCGTACTGCAGTACCTGCCTCGGCTCTGATCATGCCTTGGTACGCTGTCGTGTTGCCATGAACTTTATCGGGAGGCGCACCAAGCGTCTCCTCCGATTGGCAACTGAGAAATTGTCTCAGCCCTCGGTCAGGCAAGCCTATCATGACGCACTGCGTACCGAACTTTCGCTGTCTTGTCCTAGTGACACAGAACTTTAATGGAATCGGATCTCGGCCGCCATGTACGACGCAGGAGCATCTGCTTGTGGCACTATCCATCATCACCGCGCCAGTCACTGGATATACGAGAGATCGATGAACCTGTTGGAATCGAGTAGAAATCTCCCGACTGGCTCTGAGTACAATGTGACCAGACGGACTATTAGGCGCGAGCTAAAGCGGAGCCTGCGTGCTGACAAGGAAGCTTGGTGGACCAGTAGAGCTCAAGAAATGGAGGAGGTGGGAGCAGTAGGCATTAACCGCGAGCTATTCCAGCTGATTCGCACCACTGGTCCCAGGAAACTAGGCGTCACTGAGACAATCAAAGACAGCGTGGGTACTCTGATGCACCATAAGGAGTGCCGTATGGCTCGTTGGGCGGAACACTTTCTGGATTAGTTCAGCTGGTCCACTGCTCCCGGACCTCTTCCATTTCAAGTGTTGCAGGACGAGCCATGGACGGTTAGTTTAGAGCCTCCGTCGGAGGCCGAGGTCCGGAACGCGACCGCAACCGTTAATCGTTTTCGTGCCGCTTGCCCGGATTCCCTTCCACGTGCACTATTTAAGGATGGAGGTGAGGTCCTCTGCAAAGCACTGACCTCCTTATTCGAATGTATTTGGAAGGAAGAGAGTGTCCCGGCTAACTGGAGCGAGTCGATTATAGTGGCAATATACAAGAAGCGCAGTTGTACTGACTGTTCTAATCACAGGGTACTAGCCTCACGCCAGTTGTGACATAATTACAGACGTCGTTTCTCCTTCATCGCCTCACTGTGGAACCGGAATCTCAGATTTGGGAAGAGCAGGTCGGTTTCCGCCCAGGACGTGGCTGTATCAACCATATATTCACTCTGCGGCACCTGCTAGAGCGGCGCCGTGCAGACCGACAATAGCTGTGTTCCTTGATTTCAGGAGTGCATTCTATTCAGTCGATCGGTCGATTCTGTTCATAATACTTGTGTTTAAATGTGTTCCCACGAACTAAGTGAACATCGTACTTGATCTACACTCGAACACTACAGACCGCGTCATGGTCTACGGTGGCCTATCGAATAGCTTTCCGACCACAAGTGGCGTTCGTCAGGGTTGT